AAAGCAGCACAGAAAGGCCAAGCCCAACACTGATCAGTAAGCACTGACCAAGCCTTGCCCTTCTCGGCCTGCGTTCAGTCTGACTTCACCACCGAGGGACAGCTGTGCCCCAAGATTACTAACCTCGCCCCGGGGGTCCCTAAGCTGTGTGAGATGCAGGGCCAGAGGGGTGCAGAGCAGGCAGGCCGCACTGTGCACCACAACGGCCAAGCTGCTCTCAGGACACCGCGAGGGACCTGCCCAGCCTGGCGCGCTGAAGGTGCTTTGGCAGGGTTATTCCTCTGCTGTTTGTACCTTTAAAAGTTAACAAGTACCACCTGCAACTACTAAAAAGAAAAACAGTGACTTAAAGAAAAAAGGAAATTACTTTGTATGTGACCTTGAACAAGCCAAAGACTCTGCAGGGAAACGGGGTCTCTGGAAAGAGGAAGAGCGGTGTGTGGAACCCGGAAACTGAGTCCCTTTTTCTGAGGACACAGCCTTGTGGACACTGCACTGGATTCAGAAACAAAGGACACCAGAGGTCACAGACACCCCCTGAGGCGGAGGTTGACAGATCCATTGCAACGACTGGGCCCAGAAGGGAATACGGTACCAGAAGAAGTCTCAGATCTGGACAGCGCCTCCTCCATGGGTCCCCTGACTCGGGGACCAAGGCAGGCTGATCTGAGACACGCCCCATCTGTTCCTGCTTCCTGCAGTCAGAGAGGCTGCCCGGCTCCTGTATCCCGGGCTAAATAAATCTTCAGCAAAGTCTACCCGTGGGGGTGGGAGGGCCTCCTTCCACCAGCCCTGAACCCCTCAGCCCACATAATTCCATATGCCCTCTCCCTTGTTTCTACCTACAAACTGAGTCACACCTGGAAAACTCTATTCCAGGCGAATTTCATGATTCATGGAGAAAGAGCAGCAACATAGTAATCGACTTTTCCCCTCCCTGAGAGACCTCAAGGACATACAGCATTTGTACAACAAGGTGATAGCAAGTGGGACTTCCATTCCAACTCACTAAACTCTGTTCAGAGGGTTGCCGTGTTAAGGACACAGCCACCAATCAGATGCCCACACGGATTGAGTTAACCTGGCACAGAGTCCTGGCAAAAAGCACTCCTGCCCTCGACAAGCAGAAACAGAGACAGGTGCCCAATTCCTGAAATGACTCAGAAAAGAGTGAAAATGTACCAATAACGTACTTTACTTACAATAAAACACTCTGAAGTAACAAAAGTATATATTTATATTTTTTTAAATTTATATAACCTTTCTCTGAAGGAGAACAGAAAAAAAAAAAAAAACAATGTACAACCTACTCCACAGAGAACATTAGGACTCTGAATTCTTGAATTCAAAAGCAGAAAGAAAGATGGAAAGAGGAAGAAAAGGAATGATGGAGGAGAAGAAGGAAAGAAGGAGAGAAAGTGGGAGGGAGTCCAGTTTTCCCTGTGAATTTCTGAATAGAGAAATGTCTGCACACTATCGCTCGTGTGTTTGAGCTCCCACCTGCCCGGCTGCGTGTTGGGGAAAGAAACCTCGATGACCTGTCATCCCTAGATCAGGCGACCAGGACTTCCAGGGTCCATCCAAGGCGGGGAGCTGCCACAGACAGGAGCAAACGCCGAGGTGAACGCTCCCTGGGGGTCGGGACCAGGAGGCATCCTTAGCTGCGAGGCCTGATATGTCCCAAAATCCGTCCTTGGTTATCCTGTTGTTGTTTGAAAGAAATTTCAATCCTCAAGTTTGTACCAGTGCCGTGCCCACAAAGCCCTTAAGAAACCATGTCTCGGGGCTGGAGCTGTAGCTCAGCGGCAGAGTGCTTGCCCAGCATGTGAGGCACTGGGTTCGATCCTCAGTATCACATAAAAATAAACAAATAAAATAAAGGCATTCTGTCCATCAACAACTTAAAAAAAAAAACAGTCTCTTAACGGTCCCTAATAATGTTTTGCGTTAATCCACAATTTGACATATGGGAACGCTCACTACTGTGAAAAACGCATTCCGCATTCCATGTATGGTAAAGACGCACACTTAAATCAGTTACCAGTTGGGTATGCCAACTGGTTCTTAAGAAAGCCAGAGAACATCTCCACTAACCAAATACATAGCCACAAGACTCATCATTCCACATCACCCGACATAAAAGCCAATAGGAGGAATTAATCCACAAGCAGACAGGTCGATACAGAGGCCAGATGCCGACCCTGCAAAGCTTCACAGAGATGAAACCTGATCAGGTGCGGAGAAATGAGTGATGTGAATTTCCAACCTCCAGTGGGAATTCCTGCGAGTCACCAGATGTAGACAATTTTTCAACACAATTCAAAGAGCTTCCTAATTTAAGTAAAACTCTGCTAAAGAAAGGCACTAACCTGAAAACCCTAACTTGGCTCTTAAAAACTCCGACCTCATCCCACCAACTGCAGAATGCCGGTAACTGCAGGCATCTGGGACAAGTGCACTACAACCTCTCTCCCCCCAGGTTCAAAATCAGAGAGATGGGACCAGACGCTGCAGTGTGTAGAGCACATCCATTTGCTCATATGGAGCTCACTGTTAGCAGTTTAAACCTTTAGACGTGAACGAACAGTTTGCTCAGACTTTACCCTGAGGATATGTTACTCGGTGGTACCTATGTCGCATACTCACAGAGAATGGCCCAAGATTCAGCACATTACGGTTTTGCTTTCAGTCGTTGGCTTCACAAAATTGTGCTGACTTAACTATAAAAGGGAAGACAAAAGCCCAGATTTCCCACATGTGTATTTCTATAATAAATATCTCGGTATTTTCACACACACAGAGCTATTGAAGATACATAAACTACTTCTACAAAGCACTGAGACTTTAGCATCTGAAGCAATCACGTACAGGGAAATTCTGCATGGAAACGCTACTTGCCTTTCGTAGGACATCACCTTACATGGATGCAATCACATCTTTCTATTCTGCCCTTCACTTAATGGCATTGAAACTCATCTAAACAGCTAAACAAGCCACCCAGCTGGTAAAACCAACGACTTTCTGTTTTCATTTATATGACACACTTCACCAGTTCACATATCAAAGTCTTAAAAACACAAAAATTAAGTAGAAATAAAATCTAGTCAGCATGAATACAAATTCATCAATTGCTCATTTTTTGGTCATACTGTGTGTCTCAGTTTTTACCGTTTCTTTGTGTTTGTGACATTCCTGAATAGGGGCCTGCAGCCCAACCCAGGACGGCCAGGACACAGCATCGTGAAGGAAAAATGGGCAGATTATTTACATTTATTTAATGCAGAACAGTTTTCCAAAATCACATCTTAAACACTTAAAAATGTCACCTTTTTAAATGATACGGAAATGGTGTTTCCATACACTTGTATTTAGGCAAATTTCTTCTGTATCACAAGCAGAGGTCCTGATAGGAAAACGGACTTCAATGTGATATATTTTAATACAGCATCAAACAGAACCTTCAAATTGTCTATAAACCACAATGAGCTCAAATTCACTTCATCTCCTCTCCTATTTGCTCTTCAAATTAAAAAAAAATTAGATCATAATGAATAAAATGGACATATTTCTCCATATCTCGTTGTTATTTAATTCTTGTTAGTTTAAATACCCCAAGATCTGCATAGGACAACTGTGACTCTTGCAAACATGAAACCACATAAATCTTATGTCTATAAAAACTTAAAGAGTGTCAGTTTTCATCCAAGCAGAACTTAAAATTCATGGTATAATCGATTCCAGAGCAAAATCCTTATTTTTTTACTTGACAAGAAAAGTGAAATATCCCTTGTGGAGACAATATCCAGAATGCCAATCACATCTCAGCAAAATTCTTAAAATTCCATGGGAAGCAGTTTGGATCCTTTGGGCCCTAAGAAAGTTTCAGTTGACTTCTCTATCAAGAAATTCACAAAAAAATAAAATAAAATAAAATAAAAAATAAATTCCACTACTGTCACAGCATTTTAAAAGACTCTGCAAATAAAAAATAAACAGACTTTAAAGTTGGTGTTGAAGAATCCTTTTGGTCCCTCCTGGGAAGGATCACCTGCGGCTTCCTGATTACACCACATCATCGCTCTGTTTGCTTTAAGAGTAAACTTTAAACACAGAGATTGCTGCTTCTGCTCCCACCAATGAACCCAAAGACCAACAGTGAATCACCGGTGCGTAAAGTTCACATTGTTTGTTGAACAGTAACACTTGGGACTCTTCAGAAAGAATCAATTAGGTGAATGGGGGGGGGGGGGGGGGCGGCGGGTAAAAATTAGAAAGTAAGGAAGTTCCGCTGCCGGTTTTCTTTTTAACTTAGCCTGAACCCATCATCCTAAAAAATTGAAATGTTTATCATGAAGCGAGGGGTGTCTCCCCACGGGAGGTGGGAGACACATGGGAGATGCCAACTATTCTTAGACTTGTTACAACTTTCCTGAGTAATTAGGAAGCTCTATGTCCCCGACAGAATGAGGCTAACGAGCTCCTGCCGTCTCTACTCTAGCAAGAAATCAAAGAGACCCAAAGCAGAGGACTCAGTTCAGTAAAAGGATTATACAGCCTGGCTATTATGGAGCCGAAAGCTCGCCCACCACTTTGGACCCGCAGACCCTTCCTAAGAGTTTCGACAGCCAACGAACGTGACTAAATGAAAAAGAAAACTGCAGTATGCCGTAGAACGTCCGTATCTAAGAAGAAGGAGCAAGTTATTAGATGATGCCCGGTTCAGATGACGTTTAGGATTTGAAACTTTCCCCAAAGAAAGACTGGGAGGAGGTTCTTCTAAGAAACACCTGCTCCTACCTGGGACTCCTGCTGCAATGCTGTCTATGGAGGGTCCCAGTCAGGGTCACCCTTCTTTTGAAAGACAAAGGCATGTCGGAACCCACAGAGGTGACACTTACAAGTACCACTTTGATGATCGGATAAAATCTGAGAAATAAAAAATCCAGAAAGCGGAAAAAGGAGGAGGTCTGGGTCCCTCCGCAAGCATGACGCGCACGTACCTTGAGGACTTCCATGGGCACCTGGGTGGCAGAGGGAAGGGTCGTGGGCGCGCTGACGTTGATGGCCGGTGTCTGGCTCGCGGGCACTCTCTGCTGCAGGAACTGGGCCGCCTGCAGCTTTTGCTGCTGCTCTCTGCGCTCCTGCTCCTGCATCTGTTCACGCATGAGCTGCTGGCGTAGCAAGATGCGTGATGTCATACTGGACGAGCTTATCGGAGGCTTGGAGGCCCCGGGATGCTCCGCAGAACTGCTGTGGGGAGACCAAAAGGCACACGGCACTTAGTTTCCTAATGAGACCCCTTGTTTGCATTTGGGGGTGTCCTAAATGGCACCACATTACAAAATGAGTCTGCGCGAATATAATCAAGTCCTACGACGACAACGACGGTACTCCACATAATTGAAAATCAAGAGGTGACAGGATTTGAGTCATCAGTAGTCGAATTAAAATAAGTCGGCTTGATTGCATCTAGGCATTTCTATGGAGCTGATTAATTTTTTTTTTGACATTTTATACCGCACACCCTTCATTCCACCAAATATAGTGCCACCATATGCATTTCCAAGGAGCCATGCATCTTGATGGCACCCGAGACCCCAGATTCAGACACAAATTGCTTGCTTTGCTTTTTTAAAATAATAGAATCTAGCCAACTACTCAGAGATGCCTTCAAAATACCTTGAGGATGTCTAACATGCTTACTAAGAAGGAACTATTCAAGGAAAGGCGAGCTTTATCGTGGGGAAACAGCTCTCTGATAGTTAATGAAAGGAGCAGGTGGACGACAACGTCACCCCTGAGCTCGACCCCAAGAGGGCAAGGGAGGAGGAGACGCGCCCCGTTCTTGTCACAGCTTCCTCAGGGCCCCTTTTCTTCTGCTCTTTCTTGGCGTGTCCACTGCTTTCTGTGCTCTGTGTGTCCTGCTACTAATGGTCCGGGGCTCCCTGAGTCGAAATTATTGAACATGTTAAACTCTCGCCCTAAGAATTAAAGACCCCACCCCAAGTTTCCCACTTTGGGTCTGTAGCTGCCTTGTCTTGATAGCTCTGTGACACTGGCGAGTGGTCACGCCTGTCTCTGCCTTAGTCACTGCCCCTGGAGTAGAGGGTGCATCGGAGCGGAGGGCGCTGGCCGTCCTGCAGGGGCTGTACTTGGCCTGCTCACGTCCCCTTCATCGATCATACTCCAGGCCCTGCCTCCTGGGGACTCTGAGGGATTAAACAAAACAACACACACAGATCCCTTGGTACAATGGGTCCCTTGGAGCACTGCCTCCCTGAACGTCTACTGTTGCTGTTACCGCCATGTGGGAAATCTAACTATGTATTCCAACACCTCTGTTTAGGGCATTCATTTAAAACTTGGGAAACGATGGAGTGACTATTCACCTCAGGTCAGCTCGTCTGGGGACGTGTCAGTGCTTGCTCTTCCCTGCCTGGGTACAAACCCCAGCACTGCCTTCGCCTTCTCACCAAGGGCCGGCTGAGGCCTCGATGTCACTGACCCCCTGGGAAGTCGCAAAGGCAGAAGTTTCAGACTCCGCAGGAGGCAGAACGTGCTGCAGGGTGAGCAGGTGTCCCGAAAAATGTCACGGTAGACGTGCTACCCCCAGTTTGCCAATTTACACCACAGGACAAGCGGGCCAGCCGATGGTGATGGGGTCCTGCCGAGCTACCTCCTGCGGCGTTCCCAGATAGTGCAGGGACATTTGCTGATGGGACTGAATCTAGGCGACGAGATACGGTTAGAAACACAGGTGGAAACAGCCCTTGAGGTAAGAGCCAAAGTTTTAAATGTTCACCACAAGAAAAAGTGTGCGGATATTGTTCTGGGGGCCATTGCCGGTGAATACTACAAACCTTCAAGGAGAGGACCAAAGGTCATCAAGAAGCTCCACCATTGCTCCTTCAATTAGAGTCAGGGAGCTCGTCGCCAGACAGTTTTCCTTAAGTAAATGGGAAGCTGACACTATAGAGCTCTTTACAAACGCACACTCTGCCAAATTGCCTAGATGTGCCCTGGAATCCAAGGATGAGTAAACCCTAACACATGAAGTCAAAAAAACACAGCTTATTTTTAAAAAACTGCCCAACTACAGAGCAAAGTAGGAAATACATGTGATAAAGAGTAAATTAGAAAGCAGGACTCAGGCGTGCATGGGCACCCTGATCTAGAGGAACCATGATGTGTGCTTGAGTGTGTTCACACACACACACACAGTGACCGCCAAGAATGTGACGGACAGTCATGGTGACCAGGCTGAGAAGGGAACTGCAGGTCAATTTATTTTTCTTTCATTTTTATCCTCTAAACTATTAAGCCATAATATTTTGTTCAGTAGCAAAATATATGTCAGTAGATACTGATTTAAGAATGTGAAGACCAAAGTCGTCATTTGGAGGAAGAAAGGACCTTGGATCCATCACAGAGAGGACAAGGGGATTGTGGCCAATACACTGTTTTCCTGGAAGTCTATAGCATCCCAAACATTTATACCCTCTTTCCTTCCCTGCCTTTCCTAAGCCACAAGTATGTTTATTACTTTAATATCATGCACCCATCTGCATCATAAGAATGCTCCTGGGCTGTTCTACTCACTTAAAATAACCCAGTCACTGGCTGAGGCCCTACCAAAAGAGCATCAGAAGAAAATGTATTTTCCCTCCATTGAGTATGTACATGTTCAAAGCTCAATGTATTCTCCTAAGCTGAGAAAAGAAGGGAGAGGTATTTAAAAATTAAAAAAAAAAAATAAAAAAGTAGTCTTACTATTCAAAGCCTGTCAGGTCCCAACATTCCCAGGGAGGCTGATCCTTTTGATAGAAACAGGAGCAAACCTTTGTGTGGTAGCAAATGCAGCTGTGGAATAATCGCACTAATTAGCTGCCCAGGACAAGTCATTGGCTGTGATACGGGGAGGAAAATCCTTTCAATTAACAGTAGAGCATTCCGGAGACAAATTAAAATTGCTAGTTACAAACCATATTAAGCCTGCATACTTGAAAGTCAACAATGTTACTTAAATCCCGTTCTCAAATATTCTCCTCAGAGGAAAGATGAACATCTATGCAAGAGCCCGTACAAATATATGGAAACTCCATGAAAGAAAATAGAGCAAGTATATTTTGTAGCTCAGCTAATTGACAGTGTTGACAAATTTTTCAGGATTTTAAAAAAAAGTGCCAAGGAAGCATTAGTCAGTTCACTGCACACACACACACACACACACACACACACCACACACACCCTGCAAGGTGGTTGCTCTCCATCTTATAGAGATAACTGAATCTGTCATTGTCACCTCACAGACAGACATGAGGACATCTGCACATCATCACACCAGAGGGACGAATGAGCCCGGTGCTTTAAACTCAAAGCCGTGGTTTAGCTGAGACTGTTCCAGGTGACGAGGATGCTGGTGCCAAAGCTTCTGATGACACACAAGGACAGATGTCCGAGTGCATTTGATTCTGAGTGAACTGAACCCATCCGGGGCCCATGAATCTGAACCCTGCCTCCATAATCCTAATTCCATGAGTCTGATTCCTCTTAATCAGATTATGTAAAGGTCATTTATTCAACAAATAGTTTCAGCCAGGTGCTGGGAATACCTGGCTGCTAATCTCACGTTCTAAACCTTGGTTGCCTAATTCTGAGACGCCTGAAAATCAAGTCAATTACCTTGATGACTGGGCTCTGATCTGGTTCCACGTGGGAAGGCATACGTCTCGCCTTCAGAAACCAAAGCTGGGCCCAGAGGCAAAGGCCCTTGGTGGCACTTTGCTGAATTGCTGCAGCAGGACGTGCACCTCCCCTGAGGATGGGAACTGCTCCACGCTGACCCGAGGAGGACTCCAAGGCTCAGATTCCAGCCCACTCAGTGCTGAGCAGTGCTGCTTTCCATGAGCCACTTAACCTCTCTGGTCTTCTCTAAAACCCACCTCCAGAGTGCACTGCAGGGTCACGTGAGCTAACTGGCTAAAGCAAAGGGCTCAGCACAGTGGCTGGAAAGCAGCAGAGTCCAGGAGTGGCCACTGAGCGCCACCGAGTTCCTGCCTCTACTGCTGAGTGTAGGTTTTTAAGCTTCAACGCCTCCTGCTTCTCTGCCATGGTATAGGAATATTGGACGGGGCCTCTGAATAAGCTGGCATAGTCCTAAATCCAAATAATTTATTCCACTGCCTTTATCAACAACCTCAACCTATCAGAAATTCCACAATGCCCCAGACCCCGGCTTCCCTGATCACCCCTCACCTGACGTGTGCCAATACCCCTTCATTCACCACGTAAGTCTGCTTTGGTCTGTGGGAAGGGTGGGGCCTCTCCTGTGTCCCCCTCCTCGACCCCCTGGGCAGGGCACAGCTCTTCCACTGCTGACTGTGTCCGAGGCCCTGTCCGCCTATCTCTCTGCACTTGGGTTTTCCTTATTAATCAGAGCTTTTCAGTATACTGGCCCCTCGGCACTGTGGTGAGGACTTAGCTTTGTAGTAGATATAAAAAGCTTAGCTCAGAGACTGGAAAAATTAGTGGTAAAAATTATATTAAGCCATGAACATGCTACTTCTTTTTGATACAGGAAGCAATTAAAAAAAAAAAAAAAGGCTTGGACCATGGAAGACATGTCTTTTAAAGGTCAGATGATCCCTTTTTAATTCTGAGAACTTGACAAAGCTTTGCAGGGATGGAGGAAGGAGGTGATTTCAGCTGCGATTTCTCATGAGCCCTAAAGTAGGAATCCCAGCTTTTTTCCCCAGTTAAAGTAACCACAGTAGCACTGGGTTGACAGAGCGCCAAAACAGCCTTGGCTCACACGGCGGCACACTGTGCTGGTGACCAGGAAAGCACAGGGTGGAGGCTCTTACACCCACAGTGCAGGGCACCAGAAGGCGCAGCAACCTCAGGCCCCGGTAGGAAGGCTGTCGAAGGAAGGCTAAGCCACAGGGGTTTCCAAGGACAAAAGGCTGCAACGTCCTTGGCTGAGAGCTGTGTCTAAAATTAAATCTCCCAGTTCCATTCCTGCAGAATTCTGATTTCAGTTCAGGTGAGGCATCTTATCTACAAATTCTCTGCATCTTATCTGGTACGCAGCCTTGGGTAGAAACAGCAAAACGTCCAAGATCCCAGATCTGTCTGGCAGGAGTGCTGAGACACCAGCCCACATCTCCAATTCTGCAGCCCGCCCGGAGGCTCTCTGTCCTGCACCCCAAGTGTGCAGCCTCCGTGGGCTGGCCAGCACCTGGAGCCCTCTG